TCTGTTTCTCAAATTCCCCGCCTCCATCTGCCTCCTCTCATGGGCCCCACTCGAGCAGAGGGAAGACGCTGTGGTTGGCGTGTGGGGAGTGGGGACAGCGTGGCCCAGTGTGTCTTCACCTCTCTCCTTCTGTTGACAGTGACGGCGCAGGCAGAAGTGGCACCTACGTCCTGATCGACATGGTCCTCAATAAGATGGCCAAAGGTAAGACTCAGAGCCGCTGCTTTGTTTCGGCGCTGAGGTCGGCGTTGCCATGGCAACCGCGGTGCACTAGTCACGGGAGGCCTTGGGGAAAATTAGCCTGTTGTCCCTTCCCCAGATCATGGGAAAGCTGTTTGCAGCAAGCAGGTTGGCTTCCGCAGTTGCTCCCTGGTCGCCATGTCCCCCTGGGGGAGAGCACTTGGCAGAGTGCGCAGTGGGTGCTGGGTAGCTGCTTGCTGAGGACGGCGTGTGTTAGCTTCGGAACTGGGAGGAGGCCGCCTGGGTCCTTCAGTGTTGTAGAGGCTCAGAATACCCTTCAGTATATCCTTCCTGGTGTTAAGACTACGTCTGCAAAATTCAGGCTTCACTCCAGAGCTACCTAAAATCTCTGGTGGGGGCTGTCTCTAAAGTAGGTCACTGCTGGGCACCCCTGGTAACATTGTTTTACCCAAGTGACCCACTCCCTGCGGCCTGGGCCGCTTCCTCCTAAAGACGGCGCCCGGGAGCTTGGGCTCGAGAGCAGCCCAGCAGCGAGGCCATCACCTGGGTGAAGTCTAACCCTCTGGGCGCGTCTCGTCCCAGGACAGTGCGGGAACTGAGCGGGGCCAGCGGCCCCTCAAGTGTGTTCCCCGGGACAAACCCGTGAGGGGTCCCCCTAGAGGCCGGGGAGATCACCACGGGCATGTCTGGGAGAAGACTCTGCAGACCCGCCCCTGGGGGAGCCGCGCATCAGCACAGAGCAGAGGGCCTGGGAAGACCCTTCCCCGCCGTCCGGATGCCGCCCGGAGCTTGAGGAAGAAGCAGCGGGGAGGCGCAGGGGTGATGGGGGGTGGCGTTTTATGGTCTCCTTCCTGCCTGTGGAAAAGCCGCCCTCTCTGTGTCCACACGCACACACCCGTGCGCGCGTGCACATGTGTGCTGTGACGTGGGACGGCCACCCTCCAGGGCCCCCACTCTTTGTCTCCTGCCCGATGTCTTTTCACACAAATGCCGCCACTCAGACAGGCGTTCTCCGGACTCTGTTTTCTCCTGATTTGAGAAAGAAAGGAAACTGGAACACATCTTTAGCCCAAGGATTAGACGTGTGACGATGACGCCATCGCTGTCGTGTCACACGCAGGGGCTGGGGAGCTCGAGCAGGCTGTCACAGCAAGCAGTGACCAGAGGGCCAGACGGAGCCCGGAGCGGGGCCCGCC